TCTTTGTATAAAACTTTGTATAATTGTGTCATATGTACATAGAAGCGCTACTCGCGCTACTTTATATAAGATTTCGAATCAAAATACTTTTGTATAGTATAAAAAATATATTTTGATTATATATTTTTTATATTATAAAAAAATATTGTTTTACACAAAACTAACTAAAATAATTAATTTCATTTGTTTCATAAAACAATCAACGTCGGTTCGAGTAGTTTTAGTTTTATTTGATTACATTTATTTGACTATTTAAAGTATATGTAAATGATTATAAAACCTGCGTATACTAAAAATGCATAGTTTTATAACAAAGCCTTTGACATAATTCAATATCAAAAGCTACTTTAAGTTTATTACGACAGCGAAATAAGCGCTATCATAATATTATTAGCGCTATTTACGTGACATCCTTCCTGCTTGTGAAATATGCGCAAAGGAAGTCTCTGCTTAGTATTTTACGCATGTGCCTCTTGGCTTGAAAATTGATGCTTATAACTCTTTAGAAACCACGGTACCTTTGTTGCTGATATGCATTTAAAAAAATATATGTATATTAAGCAATAAAGATATGATTTGGTTCCAGATGAATTATCATCTTTCTGTAATTATATTCATATCCTATATCCGGATAATAAATACAAGTTAAAGCATACATTGCATGGAGTGTGCTGTGGAGAGACTAGTCCCTAGTAACAACTTTGCTCAGACTTGCCCTGAAGTGGACTTTCACAACAAACTTAGACCCCACATAATATAAAGCAATAAAAGGTATCTCATGTGTATTTTTGTATTATATTGCATTATTTGTATTATATATCTGTATATTATAAATGTGTAAGTTTATGAGTATGTATGGATGTTTGATACTCTTACAAGCCAAAACGTCTGAACGGATTTCGATGAAATTTGGCACAGAGATAGATAATAGTCTGTACTAACACATATGCTACTTTTAATACAGGAAAAATATACGATTCCCAAGGGATAGATATGTTGTTGTTTGTGTTTTTAATATTATAAATTACCGACTCGTCCCTAGGTGATTCATTAAAATTATATAACTTTTTCATTTATAAGCCGATTGAAATAAAACAAGTACTAAATGTTAAGTAAAGGTAACCTCAATACATTAGTTACAACTGCGCCTAAATCGGTTAAGCCATTTCTGAGATTAGCGCGCACAAAAGCACAGATAAACAGACAAACATACTTAGAATCGAGCCCTAGCGAAACGATGGTAAGTAGCCAGTGTTAATATAAAACGTGATCTATCTGAATGCCAAGTTTAATCCATATTTGTTTTGTTGTATGATCGAATTATTAACATTGGGACATCTTCACAAACTTTCACATTAATTATTATTAGTGCGCTGAAAGCTAATGGTTCGATATCTCCATAAGGTCGATGCTTCTATTGACTTTAGTTCTTTTAAATAAAATGATTGCTTCTTTTATTGCTATTTTTATATTACTTAGGAATTGCTTGACTTTCTATGAAAGAAGGAAGTGTAGAAATCTGTTCAGTAAGTCCATTGATTATTTGTATTCTTTAACGTGTTAAAGAAACAAAATAATTTACCTCTTCTGTAAGACAAAGGAAATGTTCCCCGTCCTGATCTTCACTTCTCAATCTCCGATGTATCTAGGTCAAGTCCTTAACTAAGTCAGATATAACTGACTTCCCAATCATATGTGCTCGACGTTCGTACGAGGCTCATATGATTTAGTTTAGCGTATTAGCATTTAAGCTGCTTTGATCGCTGGTATTTGAATGGTACAAATTTCCAACTTCGACTCAGTCGGATGGTCGCGAGTAATAGAATCGAACATACGCTTACATCGCTTTGTTTACAAACTCAACATTCAATTTTGTTCAATGAATAAATCGCTTTGCTAATGTCATTATTACTGCGATACATAAGGATTATTTATAATAACTTTGGCGAGGAAATTTTGTTGATAGTCGGAAAAAATAGTCTAGTTGCACCAAAAACTTTTTATATCAAAGCGTAATTAAAATCGACAAGTATTGTAAGGTACTTTAGTGCCATTTTTGAAATCATTTTTGTAAAATAGTGGGCTGGCAATGTCTTTAACAAGTATATAACGCCTACGAGATGTCTAAAATCTTAGTATCTCCCGTGACCATGATTGCTGTAAAGCATTCAAAACGTCAAAATAAGTCTGCAAAATAATCCGAAAAGACAGTTTTATTAAAAATTTCAAATATTAAATCTAAGAAAAATATATGTATCAAAGCTTAAAAATTACACACAAGTAGAATTGTTAAACGAGAATTAAACGAGTAATGTAATTTTAATACTTATCAGAAATCAGTATTACTTATTTATATTGTCTTTAGTGAGTCAGAAATTACATTTACAACTATTGAGTAAAAATATACTAAAATTATTTATTAAAATATTTGGATTAAAACGAAATTATTAATTTAGGACTAATTAGAACTTATTTTGTAATATTTTAATATTCCCTTTACTGTTAAAAGACTTGTATGTTTGGTTTAGCTCTTAAGTTTCTTCAGAAAGTTACGAAGGCAATATTTAATGCAATAATGAGCTATCTTCTCATAATACGAGTATAAACCCGTAAAAAGTTTGTAATAGTTAGCTGTTGTGTTAAGAACAAAAGTTTCCGCGATCCTCGATTCTTATATATTATTGTAGTCGGAAATAATCATTTCAAGTTTCTACTTTAATAGGCGAGTATATTTTGAATCGACTTCAAAAGAGAAATACAATATGGGCAGGTATATGAAGCAACAACTTCATTAATTTTAGGCCAGTTTTCTTCCTACAAAGGGTTCTTCTACATGATGTAAGAAAGCTCTGCAGCTCACGATATATTCTATATCTCTAGCAATTGAATATTTTGTAGACTTTGCTTGTATTAGTTTAAGATCAAGGCTATCATATTATCGTAGGTACATTTTTTCGGGATAAAAAGTAGTCTATGTGTTATTCTCATGTCTGAGCTATATTATTCTAAAGTTAAATTAAAATCCATTCAGTAATTTTTGCGTTAAAGAGTTACAAACATTCATACATCCAGACATCCTGACAAACTTTCGCATTTATAATATTTAGTATAGATTAAGTTTATTGTGTCTTTAGTTAGACTAAATATAATAAACTTTAAGTAAATCAGCAAGAAATAAATATTTAATTATAGGTAAAGACATATTGTAATATGTAATTTATTATTATTATTAAAATAAACAATGAGTATTGATGATCATCAGGATCCAGGATAAGCAGATATTAGTAAAATAAAACAGAACCTAGTCTTTGTATGATATCTTTTGCATAAAAAACTTGGAATAATTACAAACTATGGTGCTACGGGAATCGAACATGCAACATTTGCCATAGACAATGCTACAAAGTACCACCACAGTAATATTTACTAGTTACACCCGTAAATTTCATTTAAGTTTATTTACTTCCAGTTTTTGCCGCCTGGTTGCCTGTGATACTCCAATTACGCGGCCTTTGCCCGCAGCTGATTAATATCAGGACTGCAAATTACATTACTGCCTATTTGTATACATGCTCTCCATCCGCACTAATATGTTACGGAACTGGGCGATCATTACATTACAGACAAGCTATTTTAAGCTTTAAACCTTATATTACCGCAAATATTTGCTAAGAAAAGGTGGTATACATGATAACTATAGAGAAGAAAGTATTTTGAGTGATACTACAATGTTAAAAATAACTAAAATAACATTCCTTTTATTATATATCTTGTACACTTTTTACTATACTAGCTTATTATTTCATTTAGATAGAATACTTTGTGAAGTATTTATTCCGTCTAAAATATACGAAGCTGACTTGAGGATGCTTCAATTGTAGAATTAAAATATAAATTTGCCTTATTAGTATAGTAGCTAATATGTATGGCTGCAAATCTGGATATTCTGGGTTCGCGTCCCGAGTCAAGTCTTAAGAGTAAAATAGCAGATGGGTAATTTCAGCGAGATTTCAACATTATTATTAATATCACATTACACGTGATTGTAAAGGGCATGCATATGTATAGAACTCTCATATTTAATTGCAATGTTAGAACTATTATCAGATTTTTATATAAGCACACAGAAATACTCACGTTCATACACACATACCCGACTCTAGAAAAAGAAAATCAAATCTATCCCACGAGAACTGTACGTTTTTTCCAGGATAAAAAGTGGCCTATGTGTTATTTTATATTATTATATGATGTATGAGCTATATTATTGTAAAGTTTCATTAAAATCATTCAGTAGTTTTTGCGTGAAAGAGTAACAAACATCCATACATCTATACATCCAGACATGCATACACCCTCACAAAATTTCGAATTTATAATATTAGTAGAATTATTATTATATATTATTATTTATTTTACACCGTCATGATTTATTTTACATTGTTATGTTTTATTTACTGAGGTAGCGAATATCTGCGGAATTCTAGGTTTCTTCACATCACTTACAATGATACCTCATTTCAACCTCAATCTTTCTAAATGTAATTTTGTTATTGATTGCTTATGGTTCACTTATTTCATATTATTATGAGGTACTTTCAGAATACTTTAGAAATAATCCCTATTTATTTTATTTCACCTCAATTCAAATTAGTGTCTTTGAGAGTCGTCGAGGTAAACATTATTATAATACCAAAACGTTTAGCAACGGCAGTAGGCTAGATTTCAAAATAGAATAATTTTATCTGTACTAAACATGCTCTACTCAATTTTGTAATGTACGAGTATGTAAGTTTTTCCACATACGCTAAGCTAAAGAGGTCATTGGATGTGAAGCATTTTCATTAAGTTTCAATATATCATATTATCTCTGAATCGATGTTTAAATTAACTATCCATACATATATTATATCAATTGTCAGGAAAAATAAAACCAGGAAATACTTACAAAATGTTAAGTTTATTATTAAGTAACAAATTTTGTCGAAATTAACAAACCCATGACATATCCTCGATGTCACATAAATACATCATCTGCGAAGGCTCTCTCAGCCGATACACCAGCGTTCTCATCTTCAAAAGTTACCATCTTATCGCGGCGAGCTCTCGCTCGGTCACCTAGCGCATTGATACCCACAGCCACTAGTTCACTCACCCCCACGCCCGTACCACTCAAGTTAAACTCACTTAGACTACGCGGTACAAAGTACTCAACACATCTCTCCGCGTGTCCGGCCGACCGCCGCGCTGGAGTGTTCCTTTGGAAACTCTCCTCGCCGTAGGCAGAAGACTTTCTCCGCGGCAAGCTGTTGAACTTCGTCGGGTTTGCACTATCGATCTTAAAGCTAACTTGCGCTCGCTTCTCGTGGCAGCTTATAGACGGCCCTTCAGCCGCCTCCCGATGTCAGGAAACTACTGCCATGGAAATCTTTTCATCGCATTTTTCTACGCTATGCACTGCGCGAGCTTTAGCGCTGCCGGTGCAGAGCGCAGTGAAACCGCGCAACGCGGCACTCAAGTCTTCTTGGATCAGATTAAAACACATAGCTACTACAACTATTCCCACTAGGATATATATACAGCACACGCCTATGGCAATGTCCTCCGCCTTCGCTGACACAGTACTCGCGTGTAATCCAGGTTTTAAATTTCCAAAACCTATTGTCGCGAGACTAGAGAAAGAAAAATAACATCCATCTACCAAGTTCCATCTTTCCGTCGTGTGAAATACAAATGTACCTAAAGCTATATACAGAACGATTAATAATAAACTTAGAACAATCGGCACTCGTGTGTGGTCCCTGCACGTCCAGTGGTATCCTCCACTAAAACTGTCTAGATTTAAAGCGGCTTGGAACGGCGTTCGTTTCTGTCGATCATAAAACTCTTTTCCTTCGCAATCGACAAATTGCTTACACTCGACCCCGGACAGTGAATACCGACTCAGGCAATCTTCTTTGGAATGAAAATCGCCACTTTTAAGGCGTGCTGGACATATCTTGGCATAGAGAGCACGGAAGCTCCTCGCGAGCGCTTCTCCGATAGTAGACAGATACAGCATTATCAGAGGAATACCGACGCAAGCATACACCATGGCTACTATCTTCCCCGTAGATGATTTAGGAGTTACACTCCCGTGACCTGCAATGAGATATTTCTTTAAGACTATTTATTATCATTGATATTCAATTTCTATACTGATAATTTTCAGGAATTCTATTTTTATTTGCAAAAAGGATCAAATATTTTGTATTCTATTGTTATTTGTACGGTTTTCGGCTTCCAGTTTATATCTCTCATGCCACCATATAAGTACGATCTTAAGATATTGTTTCTGATCAAGTGTATATTTGAAAACGTTAGTAGCTATATATAATTTAGTATTTAGAATATTATTGTTCTTTAATTATTTTATTTTTTTGCAAAATCTAATCCAAACTTTAGATATACACAGAAAATAATTCAACTCTCCTGCCAATAAGCATATAAAATAAAAAAGCGTTGTCAACTTTGTCAAAAAATCTGTTATGAAAAATATGAATATAAAATCTATACTCGAAAGTCACTCAATATAATTAAATAATTGCACCTTTGTTTTTTTAATCTACATATATTATTGAATGATTATGTATTATTATACATATATGTATAGTATACATATTACATACACAAATACTATCATATAAAGCTAATAAAATCTTACCAATAGTGGTGATGAGTGTGAGCGCGTAAAGAAAGCTTCCAGCAAAAGTCCATCGATAGTCGAGTGCGTCGTAAGGTGTTGTTAAGCTCGGCGCATCGCCAGTTTTCATTGACTTCAACAAAACTCTTTGGAAGTCCATGAGCTCTTTAGCAGCTAATTTTGTCCAATTTTCCTTATAAAGAATATTGAGGTCTTCAGTTATGGACCAAAGTCGCTCAACCGTTTTCGAACGGAGATCACCACTTTGCGCTTGACTCAAATTTGGTTTGGATGCTGCGACAGACGTTTCTTCAGATATGGAGTTTCTACCTTCTATAGCAAGAAATAGAAAACCTCCAATGAGATTGTAAGTTAAAACTAGGAAACATATTGCCAGGCAGGTGAGAGGAGAGGCACGACGCTTGTGGGCGCACCTGCAGCAAAACAGTCTTGTGTCTTCTTGTCGGGATATGAAACAGCAGTTGGAGTCTTCGATTAAGGGCGGTTCGTTTTTCTTAATAGTGCGCTTGGATGAGTCTCGGCTGCTGTCTTCTATCATTTTGATCACTGGCACATACTTTACCGCACCTTGTACTTCTTGTGGTGTATCTTTTTCCTTGTTTTTCTCAACATTCTAGATCACAGATTGAGTTCTGAAGAAAGTAGATTGCAGACGATCTGAAACAAAATTGGAGAATTAAATTAATTTTATTAATTTAAATGCCAATATTTCTGAAGTAAGTTAATATTTAACGAGGTTTTTTAATTATTTCAATAATTGATGGAAATGTGAATAAACCGATTGATTCTCTGATTAAGGCTTAAAATGTAAGCAAACAAAATTATTAATATATCAATATACAAAGTGTACATAGGGAAGTGCTGGTAATATCGACAAAATTTAAATGTTATATTCTTTACGTTGAATCAACACCAAACTCTTTATACATAATATTTACTAAAAAAAATAATGGTTATAAAGCGAAACAACTCAAATTGGAAACCGTTGATGTAAAAAGTTATGTCTCTGAGGATGCTCTTGACTTCAATACGCATGCGGGAGTAAATCAAAAGTTACAATATAACAAGTTATTGTTCTGCATGAATATTGAATAGCCTATTGAAGCGAGTTAGATCAATTTTTTAAATAAATTAATTTAACTACATGTATTTTATAAAATAAATTTTATGAAATATAAAAATTTCATCTTCTAAGCAAATAAACCATTGACATTCAATTTTCAGTAAATCTTTTTTACACAGCTAAATAAGTGTATTTTTTGTAAAAAAATATTTTTCCCCTTCATATAATTCATGAAAATTACTCTTTACTCGCAATTCGTAACCTAGTTATAATTTAGATCGCTGTCTTAATTATTTTGAATGCCTAAAATTACGAATCAGAGACACTATCGCAGAATAGACGATGGAGAGCTCAAAGGTTTTAATAAATAATTTGTTTTCTAATTGTAAGGTCGTTGTTTACGAAATTACATGATATAATTATATTATTAAATGGAGATAGAATATTTATCAAAGGTTATGATACTAAAATTTACAAAACGGAGGAAGATTTCAAGCTTTGTATTTTTTAAATGAAAATAATAGATTATTTAATTAAATCTGTACTAATGTTATGAATGTTGCAGTGTTTTTATTTCTTTTTTTTGTTACGAGTATGACCTTTTCTTTTACGGGATTTTTGCATGAAGATAATTTGTGCTGTAGCACTGCTGTAACTCTTGTGGTATAATAGTTTGTTGAATAGGAACATTGCTCACGTCAGTGAGATGAGGGGTGGTGCATGTTATGGCGACCTAGTTTTTAACTGGTACTGTCTACACAGGATTGATTCTAGAAGCGAATGGTTGTTTTGAGCATGCAATCGTTTCGATATGAGAAGTTAGCTTAGAACAAAAGGAATCCAGGGAAACGATCGTTGAGTACACAATGTCGTAAAGTTGAGAAATGTTAAAAATATTGAGGTATTTTATAAACATTGTTCTAATACGAATCGGATTTATACACAGGGGGATTATTCTCACTTTTTATAATTGTTTGCGATACGTATTTACAAATCAAATAGGGCTTAACACATACTGGATAGTCATCGAATCTCCTCCTGTAAGTTTAACTTTTACTTGATCAGGTTTCACCGCTTACCATTTCTTAATAAATCATAAAGAAAAACATATGTAAGAAATCGTTTCTTGTGTGAGGATCGGTCATAGTTTTTTTAGTTTGTTTTAATTAATAAATATAACAGAGTAAATACGCTCAGGTACGTTGTAAAAATATAAGGCAGATTTTATAAAATTCGGAAGAAGAGATATCAAATAATACTTTCTTAGATTTACGCGAATACTTGAGATATTAAATAAAGCTATCTTTTCGGATATTTTCACCAATTTATTTTGATTTTTGGTTACCGACGTTTCGAATGCTTTATAACAATCATGGTCACGGGAAAGACTGAGGTCTACTCTCAAACAATCTAACAAGATTCTCTGAGATCTGACAGTCTACCCAAAACTAACAAAATGAATTCAAAAAATTTAAATATGACACCAAAGTACCTTATAATATTTTTTAAATACAACATTTTTATAATTTTAATTAGTTTTATAATTGAATACGGAATATTATTTATTTAATTTTAGCTGTTATTATTATATTTATTACAATTTTAAAAATATTAGTTAGTAATATATATTTAGTGTTGCCATTACTATATTTATAACCACATACACAAAGAACACACAATAAAATATTAATTATTTAAGCCACAAAATTGATGTATGTGTAATTTGAAAACGTTAAAATTAATTAAAAATAATAATTTTAATTTAATTTGCTATTGTTTAAAAACAAATTATTAAGCTGTTGCTACATTACTACATACATTTACAAATGAAAAAATGTAAAATATTAATTTGAAATATTGTCATTTTGATCCACACAGTAAGAACTTACTACCTTTACCTGTCTGTTATGTTTAGATTTATTATTTGATTTTATTATAGTAATAACAGGATCCCATGACTATGGTAGTGCCCAGCCATCTTCCCTATTGAAATTTGGATGTTTTTTAAATTTCTATGGCTTTTCGAATCATTCTAGGGTGATATCGGTTTTCTTTCGCAAGGATTTGAGGTCTATCGAAGCGAATATAATGGTTTGGGCGGCCCTGACTATGTTTGCAGACAGCAGATGTTGTATGGCGACGGTGCTTCACATCAGCTATGTATTCTTTGACCCGAGTTCTAACACCTCAGTCTCTCCCGTCATCATGATTGCTGAAACGTCGGAAACCAAAGTAGACAGTTTTATTTAAAAAGAGATATGAACTTTACAAGGAAGACTATGACAGCCGGGACCGAAACCGTCAAACCATCCGGATAAGTAACTTCAAAAACCAGGTAGTGCATTTATGAGACCTCTATTTAATGTAATGAGCATTGAAATAGGAAAGCAATTAACGTAAATCTGTGGTCAGTGGAATATGAACGGTCGCTTGTAGCGAAGTTGCGGCGCGATGCTCGGAAATTACCAATTCACGAGAGATTATTCTATGCCTTCAATACGAGACCATTGATAGGACGTTAACTGGAAAATTTGTTACTAGGTAAGTATTAATTGCTAACAATTTTGAGCGAAATGTTCAATTCAATTTTGTTAATGGGTCCAGGCTGTGGTAGCCCAGTGTTAACACAATCGCTTGGGAACCGAGTAAAGCAGGTTCAAATCCCGGGTCTCGCACGTCTGATATTGTCATGTGCGAATCATTTCCATCTTACCATTGATTACCACTTGCTTTATGGTGAAGAAAAACATCGTGAGGAAACCTGCAGCTGAAAGTTTTTGAAAGACATGTGTGGACTACACAACCAACCCACATTAGGCTAGCGTTGGCCCGTGCCTTAGCTGTGTTGGATGAAAATCAGTCCAACATGGTCGGGGTTCTTTTTAATTTTATTATTAAGTTTATTATGTATTTATTAAAATTTATTAGTCAACAACGTCTATTTATTGATCGCCTACAAAAAGAACAATCTTATGATATTTAATATTAATATTGAGAGCGGCCTTTTATAAAGTTTATTAAAATACTCTTCTATTAAATACTCAGACAGCTGTTGCTAGTGGCTTTTGCAGCGCGGAAATTATAGATTGGAAAAATAAAATAATTTCACTTTTTGCTGAAGTTATCGAGATAAAATGCCTACTTTAATTTTCGAAATGCCAAAGTTCAAAATATATTGCAGTATGATATACTAGCGACTTACTCTCGCTTAGCTTCGCTTTTAAATAGATGAAAATAAAAAAATTACAAAGTTATTGTGATTTTACCGCACTAAATTATTAAAATATTAAATTTCAACTTTGCTTAATTATTAGTAAATAGTTTTTATGTAATAAATCATTAATTTTTTTGTATGACGGACAACAAAAAGAGAAAAGATACAATGGTTTCGGCTGAACCAGTTATTGTGTTTTTTTTCCCGTGGGAATGGCAGGTTTTTCTATAGTAAAAAGGTATCCTACCCGGGTAATATTACTTATTTTCACTATACAAAATTTTATTTAAGTCCGTACAGTACTTTCTGCGTGAAGTGCACACAGATATACAGACGTACAGACATACAGACATAAAATAAAAACTATTATTTTAGGGTTTATAATATCCCGTACACAATACGTAACAGTCGTGGTTTTTAAATGATATTTCATGTACAGATTTGACAGTTACTATTTTATATATGTATATGTAGAATATACATGTATATGTAGAATATAGATGTATAGTGGCAATAGCCTTCAAGCAAATGGTAATACACCAGCGTACGACTTTGACCTCGTTACAATTTCATCCATACTAATATTATTATAAATATGAAAATGTGTTTGTTCGTTTGTTTGTCCTTCTTTCACGTCGAAACGGAATGATAGATTGGCGTGATTTTTTGTGTGGAGATAGTTGAATGGCTAGGGAATGATATAGGCTACCGCGGGATATTATCTGATTCCCACGGGAAAACACGTTATAATACAATCCAAAAAATATTTTTAATCAGAACTACTTGAAACTTGGTATTAGTAATCTCCAATAAAATTAAATAAATACATAAATAATAATAAATTTCAAAGTTCATCCTATAAGGGGGTTAAATAGGGGATGAAAGTTTGTATGAAACTACCTTTTTAGAGATTGCAAGTTTAGCCGCGGGTTGTGCTAGTCATAATATAATAATTATAGCGTGCTATATCGACGGTAGTGCACACATCATATGTATATATATACACGTAGTCAAATAAATAAAATAACAAATGTAAACAAGGTCACAGATAATATAATGACTAGTGTCAAGTAAATCCAATCCTATTTTTAGCTTCTTAAAATGGGTCACCTTCTACTGCCGAGTAGCATAAAAAGTAAATTACCCCGCGTTACACAGGGCTGATATAAAATTGATGGCGTATTCAAGCACTGTAAGCTGCAGAATGCTAATGTGTACTCTGAAAACAGTAGTTGTCGACATGTTTCGGCTTCACCACGTC